CCCACACTAGAAACCCAAGGAATTTTCACCCCTTTATAAAGGTGACCCTTTTGAAAGAGTTAAGATTCCTAAGTGGAAAGCTTCTCTTCACGCGTAGTGGGGTGCGGATCAAAACCAGTACCAGTGGGCAGGCAAGCTGCTGAAACGTTACAATCATCAATGCCCAACGTTCATCTCCTTTAGTTGGACCGTTTCTGGCCATATTAATGCCCAATGTTCTGATCATTATATTTATGTTCAACATTCTAGTCCATTAAAAGTTACTCAACGCAAAACAAATTCATCCTTATATATAGCTGGCGTGTGATTCTCTACAACACACGAAATATACACAACATTTCACAGTTTACACATTGTTTTCAGCTACAAACTACCTCCAGCTTTCTGAAAAATCGTGGTTGTTCTTACTTTATTTTTGTTCACCAGAATAATCGATTGTATGATCAGACGGTTGTTTGTAGCCACCGTATCCTTGAAAATTATCGATGTAACGCTCATAGCACCGTAGGAGGTAGCGAATATGTTTACGAAAATTGTGTGTTGCACAAGCTTTAGCTTTCTGTCTCATCTTGTTTCTATTTTCTTGGCTGTTTATTTAATTTCCTTGTTTTCCGATTAAGCACACCAATTTATCCAACAACTACTCATTGTGATTATTACACAATTCAATGCGAGATATCAAAATTAGCAGTGTTTTGTTAAAAAAATAATTGGTAGAACTATTAAACTCAAGATAAATGTTACAAACAGCTTCAAAAAGCTATTGCCATGTTTATGAGGTCATAATTGGAATTTAGGTCACTTAATCTTATATGTAAAAATGGTGCAAAACAGTAGCAAAACATGAACAAGACTCAAAAATATGATTGAATATGTTTGTATTTCTTGCACAACACTAATTTAGTCGTGTTGGGATATTGCATTGTGGTCTATTACAATTTTGGAAGCCAATATGTTAGTCCACTTGCTGAAAAATGATCGGGATAAGTCCATATCGTTTGGAGAACGAATGAAAGGGAAGTCTCCAATCAAATCCAATTTTCCACATATGATTTTTGAACCTATTCCTCTTTTGGTCTCAAAAATTTGTTGAAGGACATATATAGACCACATTTGTGACCAAATGACTCATTGAAGCACTTTATATGATTTAACGCCCAAGTTAAAGCACTAGTGAGGGCATTGATTTATAAATCTTCACAAATATAAGGCTCCCAAAACACTTTGGGGTCTGCTAACGTGAATCGCTACATGATGTCGGAGCCGAAAAGAAACATAAGTGAGATAAAAAGATAAGGTAAGATAAAAAGGATAAAATAAAGATAAATACAAGATAAAGATAAAAATGATAAGATAAGAATGAAAAAAAGAAAACGTATAAAATAAAAAGGATAAATAACATAAGAAAGATAAAGAAAGATAAATACTCCACACAAGATATTCAGTTTGGTAAACCAAAAAAAAAGTGTTGGCATTTGAAAGAAACAATTATAAGTAACTTAAAGCAGCAACAATCAGAAGATCTTTTTTTTTCAAACTGCAACACGCAACTTCTGATCAAATTATGAGTTACATCCTTTGTACCAAAATTATGTTTACAATGCATTTTCAAAAAAGAATTGTATGATTAATATCGTTTGTATCCTTTCTAAATAAATCCCAACCAAACAATGCTATTGTCTTAAAAAGTGCAAAACGCAAATGTCAAAATGATATTGGGACCAAGAAAGTATTTGGATTGAAAACATTATTTAAGAGCACAGCTCAACACTTTATAACACTAATATCAAACAAGACCTTTACTGTTTTTAGAGATTTTCACATTGTGCAATTCTCCATCTCCTTTTCCCCTAGTTTTTATCTTTTCACTTTATCCTCTTCCATATTCAGTCGCTGATTTGAACAGTTTGAGCTCCTCTAGTACCTTTGGCGGTGGCTGGTCAAACCGTGAATTCCTTCCCAATGGCTGGGAAAAGTGGGGCTTTTTATTCTAGTTATTTCACTTTATCTCAAGATATTTTAATTACTTCCAATTCTATTTCTAGTAGCATGTAGGTACAATTGTGCTGTTGGTGGATTCTACTATGTTGAGGGGTTAGCAATTTGGTCCGCCTCTAAGCGCTATTTCAACTTTGTGTCTCACCCCAGTGTAACCTCTAGTTTGATGGTTTTGTCTCTTGTTATCCTTATTAATATTAATTAAGTTATCTTATGGGGAAAAAACAATTGAAATTGATCTCAAAAACTTTTATTGCAGAAAGTATACCAATTGTAATGGCTACTTTTGTATCCATAGACACCTTCAGATGCCAATGCGCAACTCAAAAGATCTAATCTTTTTCATTTTGAAGGCAAAAGAATTTTTAATCTATTAATTCAAATTCATATTACGTATGATGAAGGATACATAGTTGAGCACACTTTTGGAGTCAATTGTCAATACGTATGAGGAAAAGGAGAACTCAAAATGGTGGTTGATTACTACAACCACGTGATTCAAGGAAGTCGGGAGCTTTAAAAAACAGTCACTGGAGTACCAAGTGGGAGAGGCTAAGTGACATAGGATAGAAGAGAGGGTGACCAAGCTAAGATGGAAGTGGACACGGTGAATAAAAACGGGGTTAAACCACGTCGCGGGATCTAAACCTCTCGAGGAGCTGGAATTTCAGACCTTTGTTTCGTTATCATGCATTTACCGGGAGTTCTTTCTTTTATGATAATTTTGATAGTTTTATTTGTGGTGTTGTTAGTTTATTTGATTGTGGTTCTTGGATGACCTTTTATGTGTTTGTTAGGTGGAGTCAGGCGAGAGAGATTTTGATATGGAGTGATTCTACTTCGATCGTGTTATTTTTAAATTTTTTGCATTGTGTGTCTAGCGAGTTGAGTTATTTGCTACTGGGCACCTTAATCGATGTCTATTCTAGAGCTTGCAATCCAGTCTATATTAATTATCTGGAGTATGTCTTGTATGTTTTCGTTATATTAATATAAGTCCTTTATCATATTAAAAAGAACCAAAATAACTTAATAAATTCACTCCAAAGGAACCAGGTGCACTTTGTACCATTGAAACTATTGAAGAACCGTCTTCTCCCAAGGTCACCTGCATAGTTGCATTAGCTAATTCTGTATCCAGAAAATTTCCAACCATGCTATCAGAAAACCCCCCTAATTCATCTAGTGAATTGAATTGTTGTCTTTTCAAATGAATCTAACTTCAACTTAGCTCCGATGACGCCAAACAATTCTGAAAGTGTCCAAAATGAAAGGGATTCTACAATTGCAGTTTGATGAGTGGTTTCTCGATTGAATTTTTAATAACAGAAGCTCTTTGGTGCTTGTTTACTAACAAACGAGGGAAACGGTTGTGGTGATGAGGGGATAAAAACGAAAAAGAGATGCCTACACGGTAATGATTGAATTGTCCAGGGATCACTTTGCAATTTTTTAAATCTATTAATGAAGAGGCTGATATGGAATATTTCCAATGACATTGTGCCATGTGTACAATGCACCAGAATTACACACAATATCAACGCACAGAAGAGTTCCCCATTGGTTAATGAAAAAATTCACATAAGTAATCCTAACTATTAGCGTTCTTCCAGGATTAATAAAAATATGCATAATTCTATAACACTTTGAAATTAACATGAGGTCTTCCCAAATTAATCTCCGTTACCCACATCCTGTTAAATCGGTAAACAAAATAGAAAACAAAAAAAAAAGGTCTAGATCACTAATTGTTGGACACGGTTTTCCCAAACAAAAAGCTTTCTCGCTCCAAGCCTTCATCTTCGAATCTGGCATGAAGCTAGGATGAGGGATGGTCCAAAAAGTATAAAGATAAGTTATCAATGAAGCCGAATCTACGGAAGAACAATAATCATACATTTTCATCTAATCGGATAGATATACCGTTGTTGGACCAACCTCTTCATTATGTCGCCGGAAGTGATCATGACAATTTCAGCCCAGGACCACTAGGGTGTTGGGGTCGCTAGTGGCAAGTGGTCATTGAAGTGACAAGCTAACAGGCTGATCACTATGACGCTAGTCACTACTTTGTAGTGACAATTGGTTAGTGGAGTGTCGGGTCATTGGAAAGCTAATGTCATTGGTGCAATGTTGTCACCGAATCGGGTGACTAGGTCAGGAGTAGAGGGTCACTAATTTACTTGAATTAGTCCCAATTGTCTACTTAAACAACGGGGTTACTGGAGGCAGGGCGGGTTACTAGACTGTTGAAGTTAATATCGATTGTTCACTTGGCGGCGGGATTGGTGGGGGCGGGTCAATGGAGCGTTGAGTCTGGGACAGTGCTAGAACGCTATCGGGTATTGGGAGGATTTACTCCTTAAATACGCTCGAAGAATGTCTATTATAAGTGAAGTGCATTCTGTAGACTAATACTCTTATTTTGACTATTTTGTTAATCGATGTATTATATTTTGATATTAATTATTAGTAATTTATCACTATTATCATCTTTACTTGTATTAAATTCGTATTTGTGTTAGAAAAAAGGTCCATTTTTTTAATTTTGCAACGGACCTTCATATTCTCATGACCTGCTCTGAATTTATAAGTATGTTTTATTCTAAAAGATAGTTAAGGAATATTTAGGGAAAATATTAAAAAATACTCTTATTGTCTCATTGTGTAAGATACATTCGGTTTTGATCATAGTTTTAAGAAAATATAAGGTAAATTTGTTGTTATATAATTCTAACCTCTAAAAAGTAAGATAGTCCATAACAAGTAAAATATAAAACGAATAAAAATGACAGCTAAATAGATAAAATAGTAAAATAATAAGTTAATGCAAATTAATTAAAAAAAACTGATTTTTTAAACAATCTAAACAAGAAAATACATCTTACAAAACGAGATTAATGGAGTAATATTGAAAAAATGAGCCAGAACCATCTAATCTATTTTGTGAAACCGAAAACCGGAAATCGCTGCTGTTCCGGTTCGGATTGGATTCCGGACAGGTCTACCTCCGCCTAGCTTCCTTTCTCGTCCTCTGTTACAAGTCTACAACACCCTTGAAACCCCCTCCTCTATCGGGGAACCTCCGTCCAGTTACATCAATCGACGCCACACTCTTCCGCCGCCGCGACGCAGGTAAGCAAAAATATTTGTAGTTTCCTCAGCTTGTCAATTCTTTTAGTTCCTTTTTAATATTCGGTTTATGTAGTTTGATAAATTTTCTTAGTTCGCCTTTCACCATCGCCTATGCTAAGCAAAACTAAGATTCACACATCCAACAGAGTAGGAAATTTCGTAAAACTGGAATGGTGTTCGGTCAGATAGTGATTGGTCCTCCCGGCTCCGGCAAAACCACATACTGCAATGGCATGTCTCAGTTCCTACAGCTCATTGGCCGGTATATCTCTGAAAGTCATTTCAAATAGTCGATTTTTCTAAACCCTGATGTATACTGAGTATCTCTTTAGCGGTATATCAGATAAATTTTCGTGAATCCGGACTAATGGTATATGAATTGCCAAAGATAGTTTTGATATCACTGGGCTGAGTGGGCTCCAGTTAAAATTGCAATGCATTTGTGGAGTATTATTTTTTATAATGTAGAAAGTGTGTAAACTTGGAGTAGCAGAAACACCAGCTCATTTGTATGGTTGAAGGCTTAATTCATTGACACTTGTTAACTTTTTGGTAATTTTATTGTAGGAAAGTTGCGGTGATTAACTTAGATCCTGCAAATGACAATTTACCGTATCCACTTAGTTTGAGCTTTTGTATATTTTACATGGTTCTCAATTTAAATTTTTATGGTTATTGAAATCAATTGCACTCTGTTCTTTCTTACGTTCTAAAGCTATGAATGCGCTATTAATATTGAAGATCTCATTAAACTGAGTGATGTAATGGTTGAGCATTCTCTTGGTCCCAATGGAGGTAATGATGCCTTTTTCCCTGCACTTTCTCAAATTTTTATGTTTCATCCCACATTCTCATTTAATATCAGCAAATGTTTTTCCAAGGTGCTATGTCGTATGCAAATCAAAGGAAAACCATGTGAACTACTCCATGGCCTTCTGCTAAATGCTTATCACCTAGATGATGTAAAATAAAGTCAAGCATAGCTGGAATTTGATACATGGAAAACCTAGCTTATCTGACATTTTCCTTTCACTATGTTATATAGGTCTTGTATATTGCATGGACTATCTTGAGAAGAATATTGACTGGTTAGAGGCCAAGTTGAAACCCCTCCTAAAAGGTTGCTTTGCTACTCAATTTGGTGTACTTTCTCCATGTTGAATTTTTTATGTTTTGTGAATCTTTCTTTCTTTTGATCAGATCACCTAACAGTGTAAAAAAACGTAGTAATTCATTTTAACATAGCTATCTACCAATTTTGTTAAAACCACTTTTGGAAGTTAATTTGAAATGTATTTGGAAGTGAATTCATGTACATGACGCTAATGGCCCTAAAACAATATGAGATGAAGGGTTAAATGCATACAAGGGCAGATGAATTATTTTAACCACCTAATCTGTTAGTGGTATTTCATGTTAGATTGTGCATTATCTAGGTTTTAAAGTTTGACGACCCAAATTATGTGCCATCATGAGAAACATGAGTTCCCTCCATTTTTGTATAAAGACATTGTTATATGATTTCAAAAAATAATTACATATTGCTTCTTTTAGTATTTGATTATTCTTAAGAAGCTTTAACGTTCACTTGGCATTGCAGATCACTACTTTCTCTTTGACTTTCCGGGACAGGTAGAGCTATTTTTTCTACATGAAAACGCCAAAACAGTGATCATGAAACTCATCAAGAAGTTAAATCTTAGGGTATGATCAGGCCTTTCGAATTAATTAGATGTGCTTCAATGTTCAGTAGGCCAAATCACTCCCTTATTAGGATTTTTTTATCTTTAACGCAGTTGACTGCAGTACATTTAGTTGACTCGCATCTTTGTAGTGATCCTGGAAAGTATGTGAGTGCATTGTTGTTGTCATTATCAACCATGCTACATTTGGAATTGCCACATGTCAATGTTCTTTCCAAGATTGATCTTATTGAAAGCTACGGAAAGCTAGGTTAGTTTAGGCCTTTTTTAATAAGCCAATATTGGCACCTTATACATTTTTATCGGTTTGTTTTTAACCGTTTGTTTTGGTCTTGTATTTGCAGCCTATAACCTGGATTTCTATACAGATGTACAAGATTTGTCATACCTGCAGTATCATCTCGATAAGGATCCACGTTCTACCAAATACAGGTGGCTTTAATATGCTGTATCATTACAATCTCTTATCCTTTAGGCTATGTTTGGAATGCATAAATTTCCGGGGGGTGTTGTTGTTGTTGTTTATGTTTGGCACTCCTGGTTTACCTTACAAAATACGAAGGAATATCAAAGCTAATTAAGATTTATTTCTTACATATATTTTTATTCATTAATTTGTGTATAATAAAATTTACACAAAAAGTTAGTTTGTAAAATATCTAAACTGATTTGTTGAGTTTGAACCAAAAAAATATTTGCCAAAATTTTATTTTTTTCAATGATTGTCCTAGTATTTTTCTCTATGTTTTCTTTCCCAGTAATCTCCTGGTTTCCAACAAAAACTGCATGTCTCAGGAAAACCTTCCTATTTGTTTATGTTTGACTCAATTACATACTACCTCCATCCCAAAAAACTTTTCCATCTCATAAAATTTTGACCATGATTTTGAATAGTATAATACTCCGTATTATGGAAGTTGTAAATTTTATACTTTTATGAAATTACTTTTAACAAAGAACATTTTCATATAATTTTTATATTATAAATTATTTCGAATAAAAATATATACATGGTCAAAGTTTTAAAGATGACAAAGTTTTTTGGAACGAAGGTAGTAGTTAACAGGACTTCAAGTTGCATTTTCGTTATATTATTTGATGTTTGTCTTATCATATCTGGCATTATTCATACAAGCCTCAATCTTTCAGTTTCTCATTGAAGGTGAACTAATTATTAACTTCTTTTACTTTCACTGTTGTTTATAAACTTCTCAGAAAGCTTACAAAGGAGCTCTGTGAGGTGGTAGAAAATTTTGGGCTTGTGAATTTCACAACATTAGATATTCAGGCATGAGAACGGTTTTGTTTTATTTAACCCATCAAACACACTCAGTTTTTCTATGTTGATTTTGCATGTTCAACCAAATTTCCATTTCAGGACAAGGTGAGTGTTGGGAACCTTGTTAAACTGATTGACAAAAGCAATGGCTACATCTTTTCTGGCATCGATGCCACTGCTGTTGAGTTCAGCAAAATTGCAGTTGGTCCAGTTGACTGGGATTACTATAGATATCCTTTTTTACATTTATGATTAGTTGCCTACTCTCTTGGGGAATATGGGCTTTGTTTGGTACACACACTGTGACACTTGTTACGTTTGAGAGCTTTTGTGAAGCCTTGCGCTCTTGAGACATATCACGTTTCACTTTAGGATACTTTTGGGGTAAAATACTAAAACTCGCATCCTTTTTCTATACATGTGATAGTTTTTAGCTCAAAAGTATCAGGGGGGAGGTACTCTCTTCGTCTTTAAATGTTCTTCCCACCTTCCCTTTTTGTCAGCCCAAAAAGTTATTCCCATTTCTTTTCAAGGAAAGAGTGGTTCAGGTTGATGTTAAACCTTTCATTTCTAATTAAACCTCAACCATAAAATTTGAATTACTTGATGCCTACGTAAAAAGCAAAGGAGAAGAATACTTGGCCTTGTTTGTTTTAAGGAAGAAATAGACAAAAGAGGAATTGAGGGAGAGAGAGATGAAGACCGAATAGTAAAACAATAAGGTAAACTTGTGTGTTATCCGGTAAAAAGAAATAACAAAGAAACAGAAAGGCAAGAAGTATATGTTATATATGTAGAACTAGAAAGAAAAAGTATACATGTTCCCACTTTCCCTGCCTACCCAACCAGGAAAAAGTACCACTTCCATACAAACAAACAAAGGCTTAGTGATAGAGAAAGTTCTTGTGATATACATGCATAGGTTCTTGTGTCAGCAAGTTAGCTCTAAATCAATAACTTAAGTAACACAATGACGCCTGCAAAATTGCTCACAAATGTGTTCTTTTATTGCTGGATTTAGTCAAACACATTTCACATGCGGATTAAAGTTCATAGCAGGGAAAAAAATTGCATCCCTTGACTTAAAACTTTACAGTCGCTGCAGTGCAAGAGAAATACATGAAGGACGATGAAGACGATTTTGACAAGGATGGCTGATTCATCTACCTACTTGCCTGTTTGAACTTTTATGCATTTTTAGTTATTCACAGTCTTAAATTACAATCATAGATGATTTGAGGTGTAGAGGCTGTTCCGCTTTGATTTACATGATCATACTTTGACATTTTTGTACCATAGTTGTATCATTATAGCATTTCCATTGATGATCTTCAAAAATCAGTTCTCAGTGATTCTTTTTTTGCTGCCTTATAACCTTTTTAGTAATTTAAAAAAAAAACATGACTTTCAACCCCCCCCCCCCCCCCCCCATCTTCAAATACTCTGATAGTCTGATTATGTCATGATCATGTACCCAAATATCACATATAGCATTTCAAGTAGTCTTCAAATAATCTATATCACACAACCATTTTGCCCTTAGTATTGAAATTACTTAGGGGTGGATTCGGTTCGGGCCATCGGCCCGGCCTGGTCTGGCGGTCCGGGACCAGGTGTAGACCCGAACCGGGGGGTGGGGGCAGCGGAAGGCGGGCTCAGTTCCGGCAAAACGTGACCCGGCCAGGTCGGGCCAGGGTTCGTGTCACAACGGTCAATTTTTTTGGGGGGGCCAAAAGAGCCGTTAGGTTGGGTTGGGACTACCCAAACGACTATATAACTGTTGGGTGGGCTGGCAGGGTGTCCGGGCAATTTGGGGGGTGGGGGGAGGGTTGGGGTGGGGTGGGGTGGCTATATAGCCGTTGGGTGCTTGAAATCCTTGAATCAAGGGTGTTCCGGGGGTGGGGGTGGGGGTACACAGATTTCTATAAATATTCCTATTTTCTAACATTTTCTACACATCTTTTCCGATCTCCATTCTCCATTCTCCATCTTCAATCTTCATCTTCATCTATTCTAGTATTTATAGAATTATTATATCTACCATTTTTAGGATGAAAAGTCAATATGCCGTTATTGCATATAATTTTTATACACAGAAGGACCTGAGGATCGGGATGTGGTACACAACTTGCAAATGGTGCGGGAAAAAGTGTAGCTTGGGGGTTCACGCGGACGGTACACAACTATAAAGTATAAATAAGTTTTTAAAAAATTGTTTTACCCGGCCCGGCGGGTGGCCCGAACCGTGACCCGAGCGGGTGGCCCGAACCGTGACCCGGGCGGGTGGCCCGGCCCGAACCGGAACCGCTCTTACCTCGGGCCGGTCTCGGGCCCACCTGTTATAAACCGGAGACCCGACCCGAGCCCGAACCAGCCCGAGTCCACCACTAAAATTACTTCTCGTACTTTATGCTCAGTGTAATATACTAGAGCCATTGTTGGTGTACACCATTTGTACATAAAAATATGGGGGTGTACAAATGGTGTACACCAAAACAGTGAACAAATAGAAAATTCCAATATACTATCCCCTGTTCTTGAATACCACTTTCGTCCTGTTGGAAGGTTCTCATGCCGAAACGGCGCAGTTATTTAGACAATAATTAAATAAAGTAGTATGAGTACATTTTGAGAAATAATATAATACGTATACAATATAATGGGTTAATGGTGACAATTGGGATGTTATAAATGTATTATTTTTTAATATTTAATGATTAAATTGTTATTTGAGATTATTAATTGTCTCCTAAAATGGAAGTGCGAACTTTTTATATGGGACATTCAAAAATAGAAAGTGGGGACGAAGGAAGTAGTTGCAACAGTTTGCCTTTCATGTTTGTCAATATACAACTTTGTTTGAAATTATATTTAAGTACGTAGTAGTGAACATTGTAAAAATTTAATATTTTGAAAATCCACATTAATAGAAATTTAATAACATTCTTTACATAATAACGTGATTATATATATTAGTCGAGGTCAAAGTAAGTTGTGCGAATAGCGCAAAAATCCAATGTTGCAACTACTAAAAAAAGAGGAAGTATTTGACAAAAAAATGTCTTAAGCATTTAAATGTTTTTGAAATTTCAAAACACGAGTGTTTATAGGAGCATTTATTGTGATGTCTATAAAAATATTGTCAATTATTGGAGTATGCTTCCATTGTAGAGTTTACTATTAACAAAATATAGCAGTAAATTTTCAAAACGGTGGTAAGTTACTCATATTCTAGAAAAAATACCCATATTTTGAGATTCTACGTCACTTTTACTCCTATTTTGGAAAATTTCTCTATAAATAAAAGCCACGGAATAACAAACAATGTGCACTGATACTTCGTAGTGGTTTCATTAGACATAGTCATCAAGATTCAAGGCCATTGATGGACATATTTGGACCGAGTCCATAAAATTCGGAACTATTCGAGGTATACAAGTAACAAGCTAACTTAGACAAGCAACATTCAGCGACTAACATTGATGTCACCAATTTCCAGCATTGAGCTACTAATTATTCTTAACTGAAGTGTAAATTTTTAATCCTTACATGTTGATGAACTTTTGGTACAGCTCATATAATTTAATAATCATGAATGTACAAAATATTCTTTGCAAACTAATACCTATATTTTTCATTATTTAGACAAATATGTGCTCATAATTCGTATCCTATATTTCCCAATGACAATATTACCCGAAATAGGACTAAAACAGTTTGAAAAAAACATTTAAAAATTACTTATTTCAATGACAGATAAATAAATATAAATAAATAGGTAAAACGAATTTGAATTTTGAACAAATCTACAAAATACAAGTATTAAGTTTGAGTCTATCTTTTCTTTTCTCTCAAGTATACATGTATTAAGTTGAGAATGAATTAGCTTCCAAATTTTCTTTTTGTCCGTCCCAAAATGATCTTCTATTTCCTTTTTTGGCAAAAAAATTGTGGTTCACAACATTTCTTACACATTTCTCTCTCCTCTTCAAATCTCTTCACCACACAATACTCACTATCTTAATCCCCGTTTCAAATTTACTTCGGAAGATAATTTAGGGATGGAGGGAGTATATGTTTCCCTTCCAACTTTCTTTCTTAGTATATTTCGTGTTCCAAAAGGACTGGATCTTCTAGCGTCACTCCACCTTTGAGCGCTACTAAATGCAAGATTGAAATCATTGAATTGGAAAAGGTCATCCAAATAAATTGGGACTGTCCCTTGTGTAACTCCGTGGTGGAGTAACGGAGTTATTGCAGATGATCTGGATCCCCTTAGAGTCTGTTCAGATCTTGGAAAATACATGGAAATAAAATAGAAAGGAAAACATAAAGGAAATTGAAAGGAAAGAAAAACTAAGAGATAATAAAAGATACAAAACCGAGAGCTTTTATTTTAAATAGATGTTGATGCTAGCTCATTCTATTCATTTATATCTTTTTATTATGATTAACAAATTTAAATGTGTTTAATTTTAATAAAAACAGTCATACTTCATTCAGTTGTTGTTATCGTTGTAGTCATACTTCATTTTCATGTCTTTTCAAGTTAAAACAAAACATGATAAAATATAGTCATTATAAATTTCTCTTATTTTGTTTCTAAAGGAATATCTGGAATTCAAACATACCATTCGAGTCTATTAGAAATTTTGAAATTGCTATGAAAGAAAGGATGTTTTTATTTGGACTGTAATTTGTTGGTCTGGTCTGGTCTGATCTGGTCTGGTCTGGTCTGATCTGGTCTGGTCTGAACTGGTCTGGTCTGGTTTCTTTATATTTTTATAACTATACAAGTCTGGTCTGGTCTGGTCTGAACTGGTCTGGTCTGATCTGATATGGTCTGGGACGAATTACAGTCCAAGTAAAAACATCCAAAATAGAAAGGAGACCATAGAAGAAGTTAAGAAGAAAAAAATGTTGAGGAGAATAAAACACCGGTGAAAACTCAATTGGTTTATGTTTATTATTATTTGTTCAAATGATATATTTCAAATAATAAAATCGATTGTTCATATTTAAAATTTATTTCTATAAAACACTAAGAAATCTAAGTAGATCTAAAAATAGAAATATTAATCATATACATAGTATCTTTTTACTTTTGCATTTTTGAGGTAAAATCAAGCATAAGAAAATAAGTTTATTTACTACTTTAACTACCTAACTAGTTACTCCACCCGTGCGCTGCACGGGAGTGAGACACCCACATAATAATTTAGATATAGTTATATATTTAAAAATATTTAAAAAATATTATTGTGTTAGAATTATTTGAAAACATTATATAAATTCTGAATAAATGGTAAGAACTAAATGTAAAATATATTTCTTTGTAAACAACATTCATTGTTGATTTGGTTGGTTTTCCATCTTCGTCATTACAAACTCCAATCCCATGAACTTGTTACTCTCCACACCGTCACATACAAATGTTTGTGAGTAATAATGGAGCTTCAGAGTAAGATGATAACAACTTTTTTCAACGATAGTCCATGACTCTTATTAATGGCCATTGCAAACCTAACAATTTTAGGCGGAGAATACTTAGGCGGGAAAATTTTCTCTCTCCAATATAGTGCTTTTAGGTAAAGAATGAAATTACATTTTAGGATTTTAGGATGGTGATTTTTTTTGTGGAAAGTGTAATTGTATTTTAGGATTTTAGGCGGAGAATGCTTAGACGGGAGAATTTTTTTCTCTCCAACATAGTGCTTTTATGTATAGGATGCTTTTTTTTTTGCGGAAAGTGAAATTACATATTCGGATTTTAGGCGGAGAATGCTTAGGCGGGAGAATTTTCTCTCTCGAGTGTAGTGCTTTTAGGTATAGGATTAGGATTTTAGGCGGAGAATGCTTAGGCGGGAGAATTTTCTCTCTCGAGTGTAGTGCTTTTAGGCATAGGATGTATTAGTGATGGATCCGGGCCGGGCCCAGGCGGGCTTTTTTTGCAAATCCTTGGACCCAGAATCGGCCCGGGTTGATACCGGGTCCGGGCCTAACCGGGCCGGCCCGGCCCGGGCACATTTCAATGTCTATTTTTTTTTTTGCTTTCTTGTTATCCCCCGACCACCCCCCCTCACCCCCACCCCCCAAACCTCCCCAAAACACCCAGCCCTACCCAAGGAAAAGCAAAAAAAAAAATTGAAAAAACAAAAAAAAACAAAAATTGACCCAGGCCCGGCCCGAACCGCCCGGCCCGGTTCGCCCAAACTTGGGCCCGAGCCCGGCCCGCCCGGCCCGCTTAAACGGGCTAAAAGCACGGAACCGGCCAACCGGTCCCGGTCCGGTCCGGGCCCGCACAGTAGCGGGCCGGGCCGGCCCGGTTTAGTCTATCCCTAGGATGAATAGGATGATTTCTTTTTGCGGAAAGTGAAATTACATATTAGGATTTTAGGCGGAGAATGCATAGGCGGGAGAATTTCCTGTCTCCAATGTAGTGGTTTTAGGTATAGGATGATGATGATGATGATGATGATGATATTTTTTAGTGGAAAGTGAAATTACATTTTAGAATTTTATGCGGAGAATGCTTAGGCGGGAATATTTTCTCTCTCCCGTGTAGTGCTTTTAGGTATATGATGAAATTACATTTTAGATTTTAGGCGGAGAATGCTTAGGCGGGAGAAATTTCTCTCTCCAATGTAGTGCTTTTAGATATAGGAGGACGATTGTTTTATTTTTGCAGAAAGTGAAATTACATTTTAGATTTTAGGCGGAGAACGCTTAGGCGGTAAAATTGTCTCTCTTCAGTGTAGTGGTTTTAGGTATAGGATGTAAGAAATAACAGTCTCTAATCCGAACATATATGATTAGAAACATGAACCCTAAAGCGGAAGCTAAATGAATCAAGCGTTTACCTCCGGCCATTGTTATCGGAAAATCATCGGAGCTTTATCGGTGACTCGGAATGGCTTCGCCGGCGTCAAGGAACGTTGTTTTGCTCTTCTAAACCGAAATAACCTCGAACTAGATGGTGTGTGTTTATGAATGAGATTAAAAGGCTTAGGGACCAAAACAACTCTCTCTCAATTTATAAACCGGTTCCTTTCCATCAAAGAGAAACGGAAATGAGAGGCTTAATGTGTATTGATTCGTTGCTATAATTATGGGATTTGATAGACCATAAATGGAGAGATATATCATAACGTATTTACTTAATATATTCCATATACAATATACGGTAATTAGTATCCATATATTCTATATTCGTAATGTATATCTTACATTCTCCCACTTGGTCTATAAATTCAATATATGTCACAAGAAAATTAATATATAGATCATGGCGATAAGTCCTCTATAAATGAGTATTATCTTCCATGTATCATATATATTACTTTTCACAAATTACCCATCAAAATATAATGAATAAACCATATGTTTATTCTAGGTCCAAACATAATAAAATACTCCTCAAATCAATAATGATAATGAATGTGCACAAACCATATGAGAAATATTAAACTGAATACGAGTTTCATAAATGGAAATGTAGCGTACTATGAAAAATTACATTATGGAACCAAGTCCCATATTTTCCACATGATCCTTAAATTTCTTTGGTGGCATGCCTTTAGTCAAAGGATCGGCAATCATCAACTCAGTGCTAATGTGTTGGATGAGCACTTTTCCATCTTTAACACGTTCTCTTATGGCTAGATACTTGATGTCGATATGCTTACTTCGACTTCCACTTTTGTTATTCTTAGCCATAAAGACAACAGCTGAGTTGTCACAGTACAACTTAATAGGCCTAGAAATAGAGTCTACAACTCTAAGTCCAGATATAAAACTCTTCAACCAAACACCATGTGATGTAGCTTCAAAACAAGATACGAACTCGGCCTCCATGGTGGAAGTAGTGACCAACGTCTGCTTCGTGCTTCTCCAAGATACAGCTCCGCCGACTAGCATAAACATATATCCTGAAGTGGATCTTCTGGAATCTATGCAGCCTGCGTAGTCAGCATCAGAGTAACCAACCACCTCCAATTCATTGGTTCGTCTGAACATAAGCATGTAACCTTTTGTTCCTTGAAGGTATCTCATAACCTTCTTTGCAGCTTTCCAATGGTCAAGACCTGGGTTACTCTGATATCTACCCAATACTCCAACAACATATGCAATGTCAGGTCTGGTACAGACCTGAGCATACATAAGACTTCCCACAGCGGAAGCATATGGAATATTCTTCATTTGATCCCGCTCAAGATCATTCTTTGGACATTGATCAAGACTGAATTTGTCACCCTTCACAACAGGTGCTATACTTGGCGAACAATCTTTCATCCGAAATCTCTCTAGAACTTTGTTGATATAGGTTTCTTGAGACAAACCCAAAATGCCTCGTGATCTTTCCCTATGGATCTTAATGCCAATGACATAAGATGCCTCACCCATATCTTTCATATCAAAGTTCTTAGACAGAAATTGTTTCACCTCGTACAACATTCCATTATCATTAGTCGCTAACAAAATATCATCCACATATAAAACAAGGAAACATATCTTACTCCCACTGACCTTCTGGTATATACATTGATCCATGACATTCTCTTCGAAACCGAAAGAAGTTATAACATCATGAAATTTTAAATACCATTGGCGGGAGGCTTGTTTTAAACCGTAAATGGATTTATTAAGCCTGCAGACTAAATGCTCACTGTGACTAGAGGAGAATCCTTCTGGTTGTTTCATGTAAACCTCTTCTTCTAGATCTCCGTTAAGGAAGGCCGTTTTCACATCCATTTGATGTAGCTCGAAGTCAAAATGAGCTACTAATGCCATAATTGTGCGAAGTGAATCTTTCTTTGATACAGGCGAAAATGTATCAGTGTAATCAATTCCTTCTCTTTGAGTGAACCCTTTGGCTACAAGTCTTGCTTTATGTCTCTCGATGTTGCCTTGTGAGTCTTTCTTTGTTTTAAAGACCCATTTGCATCCGATGGCTTTTACACCATCAGGCAACTCGACAAGATCCCAGACTTGATTCTTTCCCATAGAGTTCATCTCCTCAATCATAGCCTCGTGCCATAAGTTAGATTCTTTAGAACTTACAGCTTGTGAAAACGTTTCAGGATCATTCTCGGCTCCAATGTTGTCGTCCATTTCTTGCAGATATACTTCATAATCACTAGGGATTGCTGAATTTCTAACTCTAGTATATCTTCTTAATGGTGCTTCATCATGATCTTGATGATCTTGTTGTTCAACAGGTTGTTCAATAGCTTGTTCAACATGATCTTGATCAGCAACTTGATCTACAGGATCAGCATTATCAACTTGTGGAACTTCAATAGTTGGTTGTCGTACACACGATTGAGCTTGAGGAGTGTGTATGATAATCAATCTATCACTTGAACTAGAAGGTTCAGCTTCATTGTGATCCATTGCAGAGACCGAATCACACAATGGGTCACTCCCTCTAATCAAGTCATTCTCAAGAAATTTTGCATTCCTTGATTCCACAATCCTAGTACTGTGAGATGGACAATAGAATCTATAACCTTTAGACTTCTCGGCATATCCAATGAAATACCCACTAATAGTCCTAGGGTCTAGTTTCTTTTCTTGTGGATTATAAATTCTCACTTCAGACGGGCATCCCCAAATGCGTATATGTTGCAAACTGGGTTTCCAACCTTTGAATAACTCAAAAGGCGTTTTTAAAACAGCCTTGGTTGGAACTCGGTTTAATAGATACACAGCCGTCTTTAGTGCTTCAGTCCACAAGAATTGAGGAAGTTTTGTGGTACTCCTCATACTTCTCACCATGTCCATTAAAGTTCGGTTTCTTCTTTCTGATACACCATTTTGATCTGGAGTACCAGGCATCGTATATTGGGCAACAATCCCATGTTCTTGAAGAAACTTCGCAAATGGCCCAGGTGCTTGTCCATTCTCTGTATATCTACCATAATACTCACCACCCCTATCTGATCTCACTATCTTAATTTGTTTACCGCATTGTAACTCTACTTCAGCCTTGAAAACTTTAAAGGCATCTATAGCTTCATCCTTAGAACGAAGTAAATAGAGATACATATATCGTGAGAAATCATCTATGAAAGTGATAAAGTATTTTGGACTACTAGCATCCATGTCTGGACAACAAATGTCAGTATGTATGATTTCTAACAATTCAGTACTTCTCTTTGCACCCTTTTTAGACTTATTGGTTTGCTTTCCCTTAATGCAATCCACACAAGTCTCGAAGTCAGTAAAATCAAGAGTACTAAGTACCCCTTCATTCACCAACCTCTTGATTCTTAAAATGGAGATATGTCCCAATCTCCGGTGCCACAATAGAGAAGAATTCTCATTCATAATACAACGTTTCAACCCAGCAGTAACATTCAAAGAGTTATAAGTAGTATTATTTTGCAAAGTAACAGAATAAAGACCATCATGAGACAATGTACCATAATCAACAGTTTTAGATTTATTTAATAATGTAAAACCATCATCCAAAAAGTTAAAACCAAAACCAAAAGGTACAAGTCTCGAAACTGAAATTAAATTCCTTGAAAAACTAGGAACATAAAAGGTCTTTTCTAAATGCAAAATAAAACCAGTACTCAAAACCAAATTGCAAGAACCAACAGCCTCCACATGTGAGCTCATCTTCCCTCCTGAGAGGATATAGCACTCACTACCCACTGGCTTCCGTAGGTTTTGCATACCCTGCAAAGTATTTGAAACATGGATTGTAGAACCAGAGTCAATCCACCAAGTATTATGATCAACATCAGTTAGATTTGATTCATAACATACAAACGAAAATTGAATACCTTTCTTCTCAAGCCAATTCTGGAACTTAGAGCAGTCTTTCTTCATGTGTCCTTTCTTCTTGCAAAAGAAACACTTTGACTCTTTCTTAATGTCCGGTTTGACAGAGAGCTTGCCTTTGCCTTTGGCACGATCTTTCTTCTTCCTTTCGGAGAAAGTCAGATTCACTTTCTCACCCTCTTCCATAGCCAACCTATGCTCCTCTTGAACACACATGGTCATGAGTTCATTGATTGACCATTTATCCTTATGTGTGTTATAAGAAATCTTAAATGGACCATATTGTTGGGACAGAGTGCACAGAATAAAGTGAACCAGAAAGGTTTCAGACATTTCAACTTCCAGTGTCTTTAATTGAGCCGCAATATCCCTCATACGCATGATATGATCACGCATACCTCTTATTCCAGTGAGCTTCACGGATGAGAACTGCATGATAAGAGTACTAGCCAAAGCCTTATCTGAAGTGACAAATTGATCGTCTATTGCTTTCATTAAGAGACGAACATTGTCATATTCCTCAATTGAACCCCTAACCCCAGCAGATACTTTGGTCTTTATGAACATAACGCAGAGGCGATTAGATCGCTCCCACTTTTCATAAAGATCAACCTGATCAGGGGTGCTTTTCTCAGTGATTTTAGGGGGTTCAGGCTTCCTTATGGCATAATCAATATCCATCCATCCCAGCTGAAGGAGAACTCTTTCTTTCCAAACCTTAAAGTTGTCCCCTTTGAGTTCGGGGACATCGCACTTAACATCAGAGTAACTAACAGTTTGACTAGCTGCAATTTACAGAAATTAAACATGCTTATTAAAATATGTTTTGAAGAAAATAACTATATCATGATTTACCAATGCAAAACATGTTTTACTCAATGAATCTAGAGACATAAAACTTGCCTGTGGGCTAAAGTTCTAATTCAATTAGATTCACACGATTATGATGAAACTGTCAAACTATGTTCCTTTTCCCAATACCTGTGGGTTAATTAGGAAATATAATTTGATATTTTATCCTAATTAATCATACAAATATTACAAAATTCCTGTGGGTATATTTCATAATATAACATATGATTAACTACAATTATTATTTTAATGTGATTTTAATTCTAAATATACAACCTAGATTAATTAAAGATGCTGTGGCTACTCTCTAATTAATCAAGATCGTATTAATCACAAAATAATATAACTAAATAAATAATATTGTGCTAGTCATTAAATTGCTAAATGTTATATGCATATTACTAAATAATAATAATAATAAACAGTCATATAACTTCTTAATTATTCTAACACAATATAAATTTAAAAAACTAAATATTTGCATGCAATATACTCAATAATGCAAAACAAAAGGAATATCATGCATTTACTTTATTTATTTATATATATCTGTATGCATACAAAAGGTCTACACCATTGAGAATGCATAAAAACACAACACACGGTATATATAGCAAAAGTATATGCAATATATACTGTAATACGCTGTAATATATAAAAAAAAAAACTACGTGTTTGCCATATATACGTATGTATGGAAAAACATAAACTCGTAGGAAAAACAGAGCATAACAAAACAAGGCAGAGATATAAGATGCTCTGATACCAAATGTAAGAAATAACAGTCTCTAATCCGAACATATATGATTAGAAACATGAACCCTAAAGCGGAAGCTAAATGAATCAAGCGTTTACCTCCGGCCATTGTTATCGGAAAATCGTCGGAGCTTTATCGGTGACTCGGAATGGCTTCGCCGGCGTCAAGGAACGTTGTTTTGCTCTTCTAAACCGAAAAGCACTACACTGGAGAGAGAAAAATTCTCCCGCCTAAGCATTCTCCGCCTAAAATCCTGTAATGTAATTTCACTTTTCGCAAAAAAAAAATCATCCTATACCTAAAAGCACTACACTGGAGAGAGAAAATTCTCCCGCCTAAGCATTCTCTGTCTATCCTATGTAAGATATACATTACGAATATAGAATATATGGATACTAATTACCGTATATTGTATATGGAATATATTAAGTAAATACGTTATGATATATATCTCCATTTATGGTCTATCAAATCCCATAATTATAGCAACGAATCAATACACATTAAGCCTCTCATTTCCGTTTCTCTTTGATGGAAAGGAACCGGTTTATAAATTGAGAGAGAGTTGTTTTGGTCCCTAAGCCTTTTAATCTCATTCATAAACACACACCATTGAGAATGCATAAAAACACAACACACGGTATATATAGCAAAAGTATATGCAATATATACTGTAATACGCTGTAATATATATATAAAAAAAAAAGCTACGTGTTTGCCATATATACGTATGTATGGAAAAACATAAACTCGTAGGAAAAACAGAGCATAACAAAACAAGGCAGAGATATAAGATGCTCTGATACCAAATGTAAGAAATAACAGTCTCTAATCCGAACATATATGATTAGAAACATGAACCCTAAAGCGGAAGCTAAATGAATCAAGCGTTTACCTCCGGCCATTGTTATCGGAAAATCGTCGGAGCTTTATCGGTGACTCGGAATGGCTTCGCCGGTGTCAAGGAACGTTGTTTTGCTCTTCTAAACCGAAATAACCTCGAACTAGATGGTGTGTGTTTATGAATGAGATTAAAAGGCTTAGGGACCAAAACAACTCTCTCTCAATTTATAAACCGGTTCCTTTCCATCAAAGAGAAACGGAAATGAGAGACTTAATGTGTATTGATTCGTTGCTATAATTATGGGATTTGATAGACCATAAATGGAGAGATATATCATAACGTATTTACTTAATATATTCCATATACAATATACGGTAATTAGTATCCATATATTCTATATTCGTAATGTATATCTTACATAGGATAGACAGAGAATGCTTAGGCGGGAGAATTTTCTCTCTCCAGTGTAGTGCTTTTAGGTATAGGATGATTTTTTTTTTGCGAAAAGTGAAATTACATTACAGGATTTTAGGCGGAGAATGCTTAGGCGGGAGAATTTTTCTCTCTCCAGTGTAGTGCTTTTAGGTATAGGATTATGGGATTTGATAGCCCATAAATGGAGAGATATATCATAACGTATTTACTTAATATATTCCATATACAATATACGGTAATTAGTATCCATATATTCTATATTCGTAATGTATATCTTACATAGGATAGACAGAGAATGCTTAGGCGGGAGAATTTTCTCTCTCCAGTGTAGTGCTTTTAGGTATAGGATGATTTTTTTTTTGCGAAAAGTGAAATTACATTACAGGATTTTAGGCGGAGAATGCTTAGGCGGGAGAATTTTTCTCTCTCCAGTGTAGTGCTTTTAGGTATAGGATGATAGCAATAAAATAGGATCAATAGCATAAAGTCTCGCCAATACACCCAGGCCTATCATTGCAAATGCTTGCAACACAAAGGTCCTCCAGCCAAGAATGACTGCATAAACTCCATCAAAGTAAATAAAACAGTGACTTAAAAATATCAACTGAAAGTTTTAATTCCTTAATACAATTCAGAGAGAGTATACCTTAGCTTGTATTGGTCAACTAAAGCAATTGCAATATAGTTTCTTGATAATATTAATAGGGACATTTCTTCGGCACTAATTGACATGCACTGTACATCAGATATGCAAGTCAGAACTCAGAAGTACTTTTTAAATGACGGTTGAGATGTAAAGGAAGTCTCAATTTGGGCCTAAGGCTTGGATGTTGTTGTTGAGATGTAAAGGGGCCAACAATCCTAACATCAAATGATTATACAGAATATTTTAACAAAATTCATGCATGTAAACTAAGGTAGTAACTAGTAAGGTAGTAAATAATACTCTATCCATTCCAAAACGCTTGTCTCACAGTTTAACTAGAGTAGTAACTAGTAAGGTAGTAAGCACACTTTCATATCCCATGATATTATAGAGTGAGTTACTGGTTTACTATTTTATGTTTTACCGGTAGGGACAAGCGTTTGGTATCATATATTTGGCTGAAATGGATGAATCTGGTGGGTTTTATGGAAGGAAAATCATTTAGTGACATGACATCACTCAGCCAAATAAGTATGTCAAAAGATACTTATTCCATTTATATAAACAGATTAAGCCAGAACCAGAACTGTATAACAAACAGAGCCTGCATATCATTCAATAGCATACACTTAGACAAACAGTACCTTCTTGTACAACATAGCTCTTCTAGTTCCCCGGTATTACAATCAACGAAGCCAAGAGTTCTCAAAACCATTGCAACACAGGCAAGACCACAATCCCAAGTATGCAGTTGGTTGATGTGTGGGACCTATGCCACCCAATGTTCAAATTAGCTGATCTGCTAAAGCAGAAGCAATCCAATGATGAGATAGTGAATGATAAAAAATGACTCACTTTGGATGAAAATGATCGGGATAAGTACATATGGTTTGGAGAATGAATGAAAGGGAAGTCCCCAATCAAATCCAATTTGCCCACATCTGATTTTTGAACCTTTTCCTCTTTTGGTCCCGAAAATTTGTTGAAGAGGACATCAGACCACATCTGTGACCAAATGATTCATTGAAGCATTAGTGGGGATATTGTTTTATAAATCTTCACAAAGCTACAACGGGGAATTTCTTAGGATGTTTTCTTTTGGACTGAAATTTGATGGTCTTATCTGAACTGGTAAACGTTTGGTCTATGTGTATTTTATAACTACGGAAGTCTGATCTGGTCTAATCTGGGATTGAAAAAAGTTCAAAAGAAAATCCTTAAACTCAATTTGATTTTTTGCATTTTTAGTCCTTGACTATTGCGCTAGAGACACTTTTGGTACTCGTCTTTGAAAATTTTCATATTTAGTCCTTCAACTTTTATAAAAGTGACACTTTTGGTCCTCCAACTATTATAATAGTGACATTTTTATTCCTCCACTTATTGTGTTAAAATCATAACGGGAGGACTAAAAGTGTCAATTTAACAATACTCAGGGACTAAATGTGGGAAACCTTGAAGTCGGGGACTAAAAGTGTCTCTAGCATAATAGTTGAGGACTAAAAATGGAAAAATTAGAAGTTGAGTACCAAAAGTGTCATTGATATATTAGTCGAGGGACCAAAAATGGCAAAAACTCTAATTGTGGGCTTGTGGCTATTAAGCCCCATCACTTTCCTCTGAAATTCAGTTTGGTACAACAACATCCAAGTCTTAGTCCCAACAGATTTTGGGGTCGGCTAACATGAATCGATACATGATACCAGAGCCGAAAAGAAAGATAAGTGAGATAAAAAGATAAGGTAAGATAAAAAGGATAAGAGAAAGATAAATATAAGATAAAGATAAACATGAAAAAAAGAAAATATATAAAATAAAAAGGATAAAGAACATAATCAAGATAAAGAAAGATAAATCCTCCACACGAGATATTCAGTTTGGTAAAACAAAAAAGTGTTGTCATTTGAAAGCCACAGTTATAAGTAACTTAAAGCAACAACAGTCAGAAAATTATTTCAAACTACAACATGCAACTTCTGATCAAATTATGAGTTACTTCCTTTGTACCAAAATTATCTTTATAATGCATTTTCAGAAAAGAATTGTATGGTTAATATCGTTTGTATCCTTTGATTCCTTTCTAAATAAATCTCAAACAAACAATGATATGGTCTTAAAGAGTGCAAAACGCAAATGTCAAAATGATACTGGGACCAAGTGAGTACTTGGATTAAAAAAAGTCTCAAAGGTACTTCTATACCAAACATATCTACACTTCTACAGTCTACACACGAATCACTTTATACCATATGATAGTCCTTAAACTTAACAATCGAACAAACATAGCAGGTATAAAGAAGTGGATAGAAAGATATCAAGATTAACAACACCTTTGGTATACCATGTAAACTGGCCGCTGCTCTCCCTGGAGAAGGAGAACAGTGGCAAACCCTAATCTCTCTATCTCTGCGCCTCTGTTCTCTAAAGCCTCGAACGTTATGGTTCCCGTAAGTTAGCCTCCTTTTATAGGAAAAGTTGGCTAACTTACGGGTTACAAAGAAGCTAACAGGCTGATACACATTTGTGGCCCATATTACACATTTAATTAATAACTACACAAATACAAAGATATTTAATTAGACTGGACACCATAAAATATTCCTAACAATCTCCCACTTGGTGTTCAATCGTGTTGAATCAACATTGCAGCGCATATATCTTTGTCTTTGTTGTTATTCAGCTTCCTTTGTCTTTGAACTTGACTTCTTGAGAAGGCTTTCTGAAGAAATCCTTGCAATCTCCCCTTTGACGTCTTCTTGGCAATTTGTTCTTTGATGCCGGGGGTTGAGGGATCTTCAGTATCTTGCATGTAGTCCTTGCCTTCTAGAAGTTGCTCTTGATCAGCTTGGATGAAGTCCGGTGACGCCTCTAGAATGAATATTCTTTGGAGAATAGGAGACGCCCATGGAATTCATCTTCAGGACACGAGTATTTGACCTTTGTCTCCTCCACAATGTAGTCTTTTTGACTATTTAGAATGAATGCATTTGAGGAGAACTTGTCTGTGGCACAGCGGAACATAATGATGGTTGACTTGTGAGCGTAGCTGACTATTTGAGTTGCGGAGATAGTAGAGAGAGTGTTGGAGGACAGAAGTGTCCCAGAATGATTTTGTGACAGTTAACAGCATGTGGACCACTCTCCCCCTCATGACGATCCGATGACTCGGGGCGTCATGCCTTTATTCTTTTATTCTGCGGAAATAAAACAGGAAAAACAAGCAGAATGAAGAAGATAACGTAGCCCCCCTGGGGTCGTGAAGGCGCCCGTTA